TGAGTTATTGTGAAGTGCTGGAAGGAGGGCCATTTGCAATTGGATGGAAAGTCGTGATACCAGATGTGGGTGGGCGTGACTCCTGACCCACGTGGTGAGGTGTGTGCATTTTGTGTATTCCTAAGTGACGTGGTTCCGCTGGATGTGATTTTCTGCATTCACACGGTGTTTCTCGCAGATGATAACTAACACATAACCAAATGCAAAATTTGCACTATGATCAAATAGTTCCCTACTATGTCACTGGCATTGGAATGAATTTGTGTTTTCAAAGTGTTAGAGTAGAACTGCTTGTATAATAGAAGACACTCACTGTGGGAAATGATGTCAAGCAAGGCAAAGTCAAAGCTTTGTGAGAGGCTCTGCTGGTGAGTGCTCAGAAGATTCAGAAGGGACCCCCACGGTCCATCAGGGAAGGAAAGCTCTGCCGAGGAGTTGGCACTGGAGCTGGTCTTTGAGGACTGTCCTGATGTTCCCCATGGGGCACGTAGGGGCTGGAATGAGATGCACATCAACACCACTGTTCGAACGTGTTTTATCCTTAGCGGGGTTTGCATTCATTTACCCAGGAGCCCCTTTTCATGGCGTAGGGGTCGGACCCTTGTGGTAGGCTATACAGAGAGGCTGGCTTTCCACTTTCAGGAGAGATCAGCCCTGTCTCTTCCCCTCAGGAGGCCTGGAGAATGTGGGAGTGGGAGTCACTGAGGCCTTAGGAGCTCTGGGTGCTTGTTCCAAAGCAGACAGTCAAAAAGGAGCCCTCGTGGGGAGGGTATCTCAGGACCTTGAATGGGAAGGTCTCTTGCTTTGAACTTGTGTTCATGTGGCTTCTGAAGACATCATGAGACATGGAGGTAGTGTTACTACTTTGGCAATCCAGATTGATGAGGAGATCAGGAGACTGAGGGTGTGTCTACGCCTGCCACCGGGGAGTCCTAGAGCTTGGCTCATAGGAGGACAGCCACAGCTGTGCTGACCAGTGCAGTGTCTTGACACACTGATTTTGGTGGAAGGTGTAGCCACTGGCAAAGTTTAGCTCTTTGAGTGAGCTGAGAGTCAAGCCTGTTCGCCTGTTCGATGTCCCATATGCTTGACTGGCTGTTTCGTAGCTGCCATCGTACAGACCGTCTTGTGCCTATAAACCCAGACCTGCACACTATACCTGGTGACACTGCCTCAGCCTTGAAGTTCACACCATGAGCTCAATGAAACTTGACTCTCTCCGACACGTAATACTACTAATTAGCATAATGCTTTAAAATGTGCTTTCACTTCATATCCCATTTATTTCCTTCCTTTCTCCCACATTGATTGAGCATTTCCTGAGTCTGTTGCTGTGCTAGTTGCTGGAGGGAGGGGTGGGCAGGGGGTGGGGAATGACTGCATGAGTAAGGGATGGTTGGCTCCTGCCTGGGAAAACTTCCCATCCAGTGGGCGACAAACACACAAGCGTGTTTTTATAGTACAGGTTGGTCATCCTATGTCAGAGACTTAGATAAGTGTTTCTGTGTATTTCCAAGAGGAAGTACTTAATTCCACCCAGGAAGTGGAGCTGGGGCAGGAGGGTGGGGGGATGCTTCCGAGACGTATTGATTATACAAAGGGATGATAGGCAGTATTTACTGAATGTTTCTTCTGCACTGAGCACTGTGCAGGTATGATGACATGGAATCCTTCCAACAACCATAATTCCATTTTACAGATGGCAGTCAGAGGAGAGAGGCTGCAACCCAGATTTTCTGACTTCAGCTCTGGTGCTAGTCTAAGAACATTCTGTTACCTCTTACCGGCAGGGGTGCTCTTCAGAGCTGGAACTAGGAGCCAGACAAACAGAACCATCTCCGCTGTTCCCATGGAAACAGCAAAATCGTCCCTTGGCTGGGGCCAACTAGCATCTGCCAGACCAAGACATGTAATAATAATAATAACACAAATTTTTGAAACGAGGATGCCAAATGGGTAAATAATTAATGTAACGATTTGACCTGCTGCTTCTAAAACCCGCACACCATCCCTCAGACAATGGTGGAATTAAGGCTCCTGAGTAATTAATTTTGCCTAAGCAAATAACAAGTGGAAAGCGAATTTTGTGCTGTGAACCCAGTTCAGCTCTTAAAACTGGAGATAGATTGTTTTTGCACACTGGCACCCCATCACAACATCTGTGCGTAATTAAGCCTCAGCAAAGAATTTACCTCTCAGTGTGTAAGGCATCTTCCAGTGGGGTTTAATAACCTCAGCCCTATGCTACAAATCTCCAAGCCTCAGACAAGCACTGAATGCAAATGCGGTGTTGGGGAGACTGGGAGAAGTCAGGGGGCAGCCAGGCTGAACGGTCATGACCAGGGCGTTTGTGGATCTGGCATCAGAGTGTGTATTTGGGTAAGGGACAGGACACGCAGGTTGGCAACTGACCTGGAAGACAGCTGGGAAAAGGGGCAGGGAGGGACCTTAGAACNTCTTATAAGAACACTAACCCCATCATTGGGGCCCCGCCTTCATGACGTCATCTAAATCTCATCACCTCCCAAAAGCCCCACCTCCAAACACCATCACACTGGGTCTAGGGCTTCAAAATATGAATTCAGGGGTGGGGAGACACAAGCATTTAGTCCATAACAGCTGGGGAAGGTGCCAACAGGCCCATGGTTCTTTAGTTCTTGCTCATTGTCCTGCTGCTGTAGCCAGGAGTGGAGGTGGGTGTTCTCAGAGAATTTGGATTGTCGTCTGTACCAAGGATTACTGGGAGAAGCAGTCAGCGGTTCTCCCTGGCCTGGCTTTGAATACTGACAGGAGGGCTTGTGGGAGAGCAGGAGAGCTGCCTACTGTGTTTCCCTCCTGGAATGCTGGAAATCTCCCATGCCCCTGATGTCACCCTCGCTCACCCACTACAGAGCCATTGTCTGTGAACTCGTGAGACTGTCTCAAATCTAGCTCTGGTGGTGAGGGAGCCTCAGAACTGAGGTCCTCCCGCAGAGGGGCCGGGGTGTGCTCTGCAGATGTCACTGAACCCTGGTTCTCTGCCAGTGACATTTAATTTTATGCCATTAAACTGACAACTGAAATGCCAGATAAGTCTTCTAAAACCTTTTTCATCATGTCCTCACTCAAGAACCCATTAGCGGGGCCAAATTGCCAAAAATTGGAGCTTTTCATCCAAGTGGTCAAATCCCTTATCTCTTAACTCCTCTTCTCTTAGCTAACCTTATTTTCTTATTTCGATGTAATTTTTATCATGAAATATTTTAGGTGTACAAAATATATAGAAAATAACTTAATAACTAAATATAGAGAAAGTATATTAGAAATGTGCAGGTACCAACCACTCCGCTTAAGGAATAAACAGCCGTTGTAGTGTGACAGTTCCCTCCAGCCCTTTGTAAATAGGACCATGAAGCACAAATCTGGGAGCATCAAAGGTAGCAGTTCAGCGACCTGCTTAAGAGAAAGGGTTTGGGGGCTGGGTAGATCCTAGTCAAATTCTGTTTCTGTGCTTCCTTGCTGGGCAAATTCAGAAAAATCCTATAACCTCTCAGAGCCTCAACTTCCTCATCTGTAAAATGGGGAGATGATAAGTGTGTGCACCGTGTACCTCCCAGAGTTGTGGAGATGAGGTGGAATAACTAAGTAAAGTGCTAAGCCAGTACTGGGCCCGTGGGGAGCACTCAGTAGTTGTTACTGCTGGCAGCCGTTGGTTTTTTATCATCTTGGATTTGGACCTCAGTGCTGGGTCCCAGGGGAGCAGTTTCCCACTCACCCTTACTCCAGGGGAGGCCTGGGGAGTTGTCAATATCCAGACCCAGGCAACAGGGCAAGGAGCCTTGGTGGCTGACTGATGGGGTGCTTGGTAAATTTCAGGTGCTTGTCCTGGCTGTGAAGCAACTGTTTCCAGAGTTTGAGTTCATGTGGCTGGTAGATGAAGCCAAGAAGAACCTGCCTTTGGAGCTGGATTTCCTCAACGAAGGGAGGAATGCAGAGAAAGTGGCCCAAATGCTCAAGCACTTTGACTTCTTAAAGGTAGGAGGTGCAGGGCAGTGGAACGTGGTGGTCTGGCGGAAAGGTGCAGGGGAAGACTGGTCTCTGCCCCAAGCATCCCCTTTGCAGAACATGAGTGGGGACATCTTCCTGACTCTTTTTTTCTGAGGATGAATGCTTTGTCCCTGGTGGTGTACATTAAAGTCCTTGAAGGCAGTGTTACATGTGATTGTTGGCTTGTCAGTCAATCAAGCAGATAGGTACTGAATGATCTACAATTTCAAGACACTGAGTGCTACCCCAGAGCCTATAAGCTGTGGTCTCGGCCTTCATGAAGCGTGGGACAATGACACTGATGATGATGATGGTGATAGCTCATGCTACTCTACCCTGGCACCTTTCCTAACACTTTATGTATATTATATTAGCTCGTTTACTGTACAGTCACTTCTATAACAACATTATATAACATATAACA